TTCACCGTCGTTGTGTTCTTACTCCCCAAAACACAATTTGAGGAGACCTTGCCTCTATCACAAGGTAATTGTGTGACAAGCTTATCTCACACCTGTGCACTTTTAGGAGCTGATATGTGTCACTTATTTGTGGACATGCACTTTAGATCAATGAGGATTCACAGAATCATAGCATGGTTTGGGTTGGAAGTGACTTTAAAGGACCCTTTAAAGGACCCTTTAAAGGGAACATGCAGTTCCACCTCCTGCCATGGGCAGGGACACCTTCCACTATCCCAAGCCCTGTCCAAGCTTGGTTGCTCCAAGCCCTGTCCAACCTGGCCTTGGACACTTCCAGGAATGGGGCAGCCACAGCTTCTCTGGGCAACCTGTGCCAAGGCCTCATCACCCTCACAGGGAAGAATTCCTTCCCAATATCCCATCTAACCCCGCCCTCTGGTAGCGGGAAGCAATTCCTCCTCATAAAGACATTGTAAGATAACTTTATAAAAATATTTAAACATACACTTTTAAAGAGGGAATCTCTAAAGGTATGTCCTTAAATATCTTTAAAGGTTAAAGGTATGTCTTACCTTTTATTTCTTAAATAAACCCTTGTCTGGAATTTTCCTGTACTGGAAGGGATGAATCTGCAAGCACTATACGATCAACAACACTAATCACTCTCTAGCAAATTAGATGATTGGCCACATAATTTTTACCGTGTGATAGTAACATTATTTCTTTAGTGTAAAACAAGGCTTTTAATGTGGCAACTTCTTCTGTTCCACAGGCAAGGAAGACTTTGTTGGTTCCCACACCACGCCTGAGAACTGGGCTGTTCAATAGGATTGTTCCACCTCCAGGTGCAACTAAGGAAATCCTGAGAATATGTGCCACGTCTCAGGTAGGAATGAAAGATGAGGGAGGCCTGAATTAACTTGTGGATGATTGTGTTGTTATGACAGACCAGCCAGAATTTGAAAATGCTGCTTCAAGTATAATTCTGCCGGGATGTTATTTCTGGGTCTGCGCACACAACTGCCATTAATAATTTTTAAATCATGAGGAAATTTAGTCTTCTTGCTATGTTTTGTTAGCAAAGTGGTATTGATATTTTCTCAGTGCTTTTTGGAACATTATGAGCAACTTTTATTGCTGAGATACATCTTTATATTTCTAATAAATCATACTCCTAAGAAATAATTTATTTCTAATAAATTATGTCTCTGTATTCTACAGTTTTGAGCTACTGAAACCTGTTTAGTGATTACAGGTTTTGCATAATCTTGATAGAATATTAGGTGTTACTCAGTAGGAAAGATAAGTTCTTTAAGAATACTAGGTCTAAAGAAACAGCAGTTCTGGCATTTGCCTCAGTGGAGGCACAAAAACTCGGTAAGGTTTTTGTCCTGCAGAGTGGTCTGTTGCTGCCCTCTCGTGTTACAATCCCATATTGTACAGCTGAAGGCTTTTGGCAGAGAAACCTCTTGTTATTTTTATATTCCTCTTGAGTTGCTATGAAAACCTAACTCGTACAAAAAGAACAGGCCAGTTTATCGATTTATTTCCTTCTTTATCTCCTGCTCAAGGCACTAAAATTCTACAGTAATCCCGTATACAACTGAGGTTGTAAATGGGTAGTAATTAGTAGTGACTTTCTTTGTTGCAAGTTCTGTTGGGGTCATTAACTAATTAAGCTTTTCAGGGTTGAAGAGCACTTTTGAAAGAGGCCTTTCTCTTGGCCTGTTTCTGTGATCTGTGATTTTACCACCATGTGTCTGGTTTTTCCCCCCCACCCAGGCCCACTAATGAATAAATAGTGCTGGCAGTTTATATTTACAAAGCACTGTGCAAACAGTCCTTACCACACTGCTGTGAAGTGGATAATGAACATTAATACTGATAGTCAGCCACAAATTACTGAATTTTTTTTGTTTTCTGCTCTACACAGAAAATGTTCGTCTTTTTATTGTGAAGATTGATTTAGCACGAACTTCTGAGGAGGACTTAAGCTGTACACATATCTTGAGTGAATGAATCACTTTAAAAGTTCTAAACCTGTGATATTTGAAAGCCCAAGTGAAGATAATCTTTAATTTCTGCAGCTCTGGACACAATTTTGTTAGGTTGTGTTTTTTTAGAGAGTAGATTGAAGAGGGGTGGGTTGGGATGAGTGGGGAGAGAGGGAAAGAAAAAAAAAATTGTATCAGTTTGTGTGACTTAAGACTTCTTTATGCTGTATCTGCCTGTGTCTAAATTAACTTTGTGATTTTTGTGTGAGACTTAATTCAAGAATTTGTAGTCCTCTGGTATGAGTTTACATAATTATGATTCTAAGTTAGTAGTGCTAAGGTAGGAAGTGTCAGTTGCCCTCATTTTTAGGAACAGATTTCCAATAAAGGGTTTCAAAATACGAGGCTTTGATCCTAAGTAAGTAACCTTGCTTAAAAAAAGTGCCCACCTCCCTCAGCTCTCCTTGTAGTGTGCCAAAATTCTTGTTACTGTAGTAGGGAATCTATTCTAGGATTCCCTAGAGGATAACGTTCCAGACATGCACCACTTGGCTATACATGGAAGAGACACTTTGAAATAGGGAGTTAGTTGGATTTATCAAAATATCCTGGATTTCTGCCCCAGTGGCTGGAAGACTCTGCACTGAGTGAACCTAAAATGTGGTTTTTCTTGCAGGGTGTGAAAGACTACAGTGTGCCTGTGGGGCTGGATGGGAGAGCACGAGTGGACTTGGTTGTTGTAGGATCTGTGGCTGTCTCCGAAAAAGGTAAGGAAAAGCCTTGTCAGCTTTTCAGGAGGAGGGTCCTAAGTCACAATTCACAGTGTCAGTAGGATACACCACATGTTCCTTTTGGCAGAGATGAATATATCCCTGGAACTGAGTTGTGGTCTGGAGTTCTGTCCGTTCTGTGTGACAAATCCCTGATCCCAATCCAACCAGGAAGCAGCAGTGCCTCCAGCACTTAGTGGGCAGGCAGCAGTGTGGTTTAGGGCATGTGGGCCTGTGCTTTGGCCTTCAGGAGAACTATTAAGGCAAGCAATTATTTTTGTTTTGAAAGAATCAAAGCAGGCTCCCTGGTCAGAGGAACTGCTCTGCTCACACAGGATGTGACAGGACACACGTTAGACCTGCTGAGTCAGTACCTCTTTGGGGATCAGATTTTGCATTTTCTACTATTTTGAAGACCTGCTGGTGGTGGAAATTTTTCCACTGACTTTATGCATTGCCTAAAACAACATGTTTTTCTGTGTATGACCCAGATTCCTCTTTACCCACCTTAACCTATGTTGGACATGAACAGAAGGTTCTGAGTACAATGGGTAAATAACCTGCTGTGTTAAGTGGACTAAGTTTGATTTTGTTCTGAATGGGGGGCTCCTGGGATCCTTTAGGAGTTCATTGAAACTGATGTTTTATTTCATTTCAGTGCTGATTTCAAGGAAAGTTGCATTCTGTGAGAGATGCTGATCTGAGTTTTTCCTGAGTTACGACTCTGTGCTTGGTTTATCTGTTGCAGACTGCATAGTTTAATTACATGATTTTAACAGTTAATCAGATTTCCATTCTGCTGGGTTTGTTTTTTTTTTTTTTCCCACTGTTTACTTTTATGTGTTTTAGGCTGGAGAATTGGAAAAGGGGAAGGTTACGCAGACATGGAATATGCAATGATGGTGTCAATGGGTGCAGTGCAGGAGGATACACCTGTAGTTACCATTGTCCATGATTGTCAGGTAAGTTAAAATATCCCCTCTCAAATAATAAACCAGAATTATGTGATACTGACTGGTCTGTCTGAAGAAGAGACATGGAATGATGTTGGTTTGGCATCTTTATTTCCACTGTCTGACGTATTTTCATGTGTTTCAAGACATCAGGGATGGTGCACAATTTTAGTCAATTTGGTTTTAACCGCTTAGCAAATCTTTTGTTCCTTTGTAGGTGGTTGACATAGAAGAAGAGCTTCTTGGTGATCATGATTTAACTGTGGATTATATCCTCACCCCAACAAGAATTATCAAGACTAATTGCAAGCGATCCAAACCTCAAGGAATAATATGGCATAAGGCAAGTTCCCTCTGCTAACAGTGGTGCCAACATTCTGTTGGTGAACCCCACATTTTTGAATATAAACACATTTGTTGTGTTAGAAATACTTGGGAAAGGAGCAGGTGTGTTTTTCAGGTGAAACAAAACAGCAGCATCCGTGTTCAGGGGGTTTCAAGTGGGAATGGTGAGGAGGAGAATGTATCCCTGCAGCAGAGGTTGCTGTACCAAATGAATTGCCCAAAAAAGTGGTGGATGCCCCATCCCTGGAAGTGTTCAAGGCCAGTTTGGATGGGGTTATGAGCTACCTGGTCTAGTGGAAGGTGTCCCTGCCCATGGCAGGGGGATTGGAACTAGCAGATAGAGTATGTGCTGCTCTGGTTATGAAAGCAAAACATGACCTGGTGGTGGTACATTCCTGTTTATGTAGTGGATTAACTTTCCAAGGATAAATTTGTGGCTGTAGCTTGTTTTCAGGTGGAGAAACAGTGACTGGTTTAAACCAGGAATCTTTATTTATTGATCATTATTGTATTATGGGTTTGCCCTTTCTCTTCCCGCCCAGATCATCAGAAACTTCCTCAGCCTCACAAATAGTTTCAGAACAGCATTTACTGAATTGTTTTACTGGAAGTTAATGCTGGGAAAACTTTTCCTTTGTCATTGGATTTTCATTTCTAAAAACATCCAGTTAGGAAGCAGACACAGTCCTGCATGATTAACAGTAGGAATACTGAAATGGGAAATATTGTACCCATGTCTTGCAGAAACTGCTGAGGAATTACTAAGGGAATACTTGTAGGGAAAGCAGGAGTTGTTTGTTAAACGGTTGCCAACCAGCAAAAGGAGTTAAATTTCTTTAGGTAATGTATCTACAACAAACAATTCTAGCCAGCGCTATTTTTATGCCCATGGTGGGAGAGCATTTTACCCTGTCTGTGGTTGAGGGTTTGAGGTTATAAATAAATAAATAACAGCTCTGTCTGTACTAGTGCATTTTTTCCATTGAATTATTTTTGAATTGCAATTTTTTTAGAATATTATTGAATATAATTGTGTTGAAGGCCTACCCCTTGTGCTCCATCCATCTTGCCAACATACTTTTGATCACAGTTTGTCTGTCTTAGTGACAGACTTCTCAGTAAGTGGCCTTTCTGACACTTTTTCCTTTTTTTTTTTCTGATTCCCCTTAGCTGCAACAGATTTTTCTCCAGTTTCACTGAGAATGGACCACTATTGATGTTTGTTTGAATACTTGAATGTTGATTTAACATCTAAAGCTGGGTTTGGTGGTTCTTTGGAGTGTTTTGTTGCTTAGATAGGAATATTGGAGAATATCAGGCAGTTTTGGGAGAAGAAAACGGTGTAGTGCCTATATGAAGATGAAATAAATGGCCATTATTCTTTCACAGGGAGATGAATGACATTTATTTTGTTTGTGCTTGTGGTGGTAACTGTGTTCAGCTCTTGCAGGGAGTGTTGTGGAGGTGGGAGGTCTGGTTAATCAGCAGGGTGTTAAAAAGGCAGGATTTGATATGGGCTATTTAAATGTTTGTCCTTTGCCTTGTCCTGGCTACTTCTACATCCTTTTCTCTCCATCCTTTTCTCCTTCAAATCCCAGCTTTGCTGGTGCATTCCTGTTCCTCAGAGCAAAACTAAATGAACCAAGAGGTAGTGAGTAAATAAAAGCCCCACTTCTCAATAGGGTGTTTTGTCAACAGAAAGTAGCTTAACTTTATTGTTGAGATGTGTGATGTGTAAAATACACTGTAAAAAGGTTTATCCTTGGGGAACACGGCTGGATCGGCTGGATCGGGCCAAGACAGCGATTAAGAGCTTAAATTACAGGTGTTTGCAAACATGGGATTAGAGCTAAGTGTTGTTGTGAAGGATGTGCTGTCCTGAAGCTGGCAGGATAAACAGCCAGTAACACACACACTGTGTTTTCAGCTCCAGAGGGGCGAGGAGGTACCTACCCAGCAAGCAAATCCATGTCTTCGGGCTGGATTTCTGTGCTTAAGGAGGTGTTCTTGTTTGTTATGTGCTGTTTAAAGGTTTCCAATAAAGTATGAGACCCACCATATCATTAATACCAAATAATCTTTATAAATATCAGTGCTAAGCACTCTGGAAACACTTGTAAATGCAAATACTGGGAGGTTTCTGTGGGTAAGTTTTCTGCCTCTGAGTTGTGAGAAATCAATATGAGTTATTGGAGGGCAGCAAGAGCTGCTGAGAGCTGAGCACTCTGGAAAACTTTATTTGGATCCAGTGGAGAATTATTTGGCTTCCATCTGTCTTGAAAATCTAACCCATTGTTTCTGGGAACTCTAAATTCATGAAATGACTTACTTTCTCATTTAATATTTTCTATGGGTAGCTGTGATCTTTATCTGGGACACTGTGTATTATATTTTGTCACAATTACCAAGTTATTTGTGCTGTGCTTATTTTAAATTGCAGCTATACAGACCAATTAAAATATTTGGGGTCGTGAAGAGGGAAATGAGAGTAGTTGGTGGAAAAAACACTATATTCTAGCAAGCATTTCCTTCTGTTTTTTAAATCATTCTTTTGCTGAGAATTTTAGAGCAGTAGGAAAAGATTTTTTTTCCTGAAACAAAATGATCTGGGGGGAATCCCTGGGTCCAGTGCTGCAGCAGAGATGGAAACTATCTGACAACAAACAGCTTTTGAGTTGGGTCTGTGATAGAACGTTTGGAAAGTAAAGCTCAAAAAGTTCACACATCCAAGCTGGCAAACTTTTAGCAGGGACACAGTGTTGCCATCAGAGGAAAATTGCGGTTAGTTTAGCCAAGGCTTTGTTTTGCTGTGTGTTTTGGAGGGGTAGTGTGAGCAGGGCACACTTCCACGCGTGGTTAAACATCTCAACACCTTTGCAGATCTGACCCTTGCTGCAGAGTCCGTGGAATCCACTTTTCTCTGATGGATTCCAAATGTGGGTTGCATAAGTCTCTCCTGAGGGACATTAGCAGACTTCATGGGCTGCCAGCTCCCAGAAATATGCCCTGGGATTGTGTGCACATATTTGGACATTTTGTGCAAATGAATGATAAAATGTTCAACTGTGCTGGCCTGTCCTGGCTGTCCTGGCATTGTCTGTGCTTTAAATCCCTGTGAGCTCTGTGCTCCTTGAAACAGGCAGCTGGTTAAGGACACAGCGTGAGAACTGGGGTCTATCAGTCTCCGTCTTAGAATCATGGAATGGTTTGTGTTGGAAGGGACCTTATAGCTCATCTCATTACCACCCCGTGCCACAGGCAGGGACACCTTCCACTATCCCAGGTTGCTCCAAGCCCCATCCAACCTTGGATACTTCCAGGGGTGGGGCAGCCACAGCTTCTCTGGGCAACCTGTGCCAGGGCCTCACCACCCCCACAGGGAACAATTCCTTCAGTATATCTAAACTAAATTTCCCTTCTTTCAGTGTGAAGCCATGTTCCTTGTCCTGTCACCACAGTTTCTGGTAAAGAGTCTCTCTCCGGCTTCCCCTTCAGATACTGGAAGGGACTATGAGGTCTCCACACAACTTTCTCTTCTCCAGGCTGAACAGCCCCAACTTTCTCAGCCTGTGTTCATACAGGAGGTGCTGCAGTTCCCTTGTCAACTTTGTGGCCTCCTCTGGACTTGCTCCAACAGCTCCATCTCCTCCTTATGTTGGGGACTCCAGAACTGTGCCCGGGATTCCAGGGTGGGTCTCACGAGAGCCACATATTCCTGTATCAGTGGTCTGTGCATATGGGGAGCTGTGGGGAGCAGAATTAAATACCAGGCCCAGCACACTCTCCAATCCAGAGCTGTCCTTCCCTCATCTGCAGTGCACCAGGACTGCACCTCTGCTCCTGCCAGGGAAATCAAAGTGGTGTTTGGCTTGGCCTGTGCTGTATCAGGGGTCAGCATTACTCGCTCTGACACAGGACAAACACATCCTTCATTTTCCCCAGCAAAATATTGAAAGTGGCTCCATTCACTGTTCTGGGAGAACACAGGGTGAAGGGGAGCCCTGATGTTCCAGCAGGGATGTTGCAGAAGTCCAGCTGCCACTCCATTGCTTTGGGATCAGACCAGGTGTCGTAAGAGTGAAGGGTCTGGGTTAAGTGCTGGGAGATTTGTGTTGGCACTCAGCATCCAAGACTCTTTTTCTCAGGTTTCTGTCACAAAGGGGCCACATTTCCCTCCTCTTCTCCTTTCCCATAGCCCAGTAATTGTGTGCCAGAAGCATTCATCCACCCTGCTGTCCTCTCTCCCTGAGGCTCTCCCAGCTATGGCAGGGAATAGGCAGTGGTGTTAAATGATTAATTGCTTTTGGTGGAGTTATTTTTAACCTGAATCACTTCAGTTAGTGAGTTTACAGCACAGACCAACAGGCACTTCTGTTGGCCAACCCCAGAGGGCTGAAGTGTGGAGCTGGCCTGGGAATCGGTGGTCAAGGGATAATAGGAAACTTCTTCAACTGGTTTTGCTGCCAAAGCCAATCATTGAGCTAAATCCCAACACTCAATACAAAGTTTACAAACATCAATAAATGGTTTGGCCTTGACTTTATAGGGATGGGAGGAGCAAGGGAAGAAGTTTCAACTGCTGGGTTTGCCCAGGTCTGTGTAGTTGGGGTGGAACCTTTATCCCTTCCATCCTGGCTTAGCCTAAAGCAGTAAGCAAGGATAAGGATAGACAAGGATAGGGAGGACTGACCCGCCGGCACAGGACCAAGAAACGTGCAGCTTGTTTGAAAGAGAGGAGGAATATCTTTGGCCTCTCTCCTCATGGAAATAAATCATTGCAATCCTCCACAGCTTACGGGACAAAAGGAACTTTTTGCATGATCATAATTAGCAACACATTGTACTACCACAGAGTTCTTTTGTTTGCTCTTTTGCAACAGAGCAGAGCAAGCTTTTTCCTCTCCTCTGCCACCCACTGCCCCCTTTGCCCTTTTGCTTCTCACCCCCATCACCCCCAAAAAAATCAGTGAATTTGTTTGCTGAATTGAAACTCGAAATTCCCAAACTGGCATAAGAGTAGGTGAAAATAAGGAAGCGAAATACTCTCTTAGACCCCAGGGACAACAGCCCTTAAGGTAAATCCTTTATGTCTCTTGTGGCAGAAAGATGTCAACTGACAGTATCAAAACTTGTCTAATGTAGGTTTTTATATGATTTTTTCCTAATACAAGAAAATCCAAGTGACAAATCAGCTGCCTTTGTTGCTTTGGCACTGTAAAGGCTTTTTCGTGTTATGTTTGCACAGGGCTGAATTGAAGGGAGTGAAAGAATCACTTCAGGGTGGTGTTTGATCAGAACGTTGGCTTTTAAAGAGAACACTTCGTAGTCCTTACAAAAATCACAGAATCACTGAGGTTGGAAAAGACCTCTGAGATCACTGAGTCCAACCTGTGACTGATCCCCACGTTGTCACCTACCCCAGAGCACTGTCCATGTCCAGTCATTCCTTGGACACCTCCAGGGATGGGGACTCCACCACTGCCCTGAGCAGCCCCTTCGATGTCTAATCACCCGTTTTGTGAAGAAATTCCTCCTAAAACATATCTGCTGTTGTAACTGCATCTTCCTGAATTTCCCAAGAGCCTGAACAGCATTTCCAGGAGCTCCAGTCAGATGCCAAAAACTCCTTGTCTCTTTAATGAGGGGAGATGCCACGCTGAAGTCTCTTAGAGAGTGTGCTGGCCCCTGATTATCTAAATCCACTCCTTGAAAGACTGGGAATTCCAGAGATCATCCTCTCGGTGCCCGTCTCTGATTGCCTTAATCTACAAAGTGCTGAGGGTTTGCCCATTGACCTTTTGTCATAGTTCTGATTTTAGCAAGAAATTTTGTCTTTCCTTTCCCCTTCCCCCTCCTGCGTGTATGTGTTAATGGGCCATCAGATAAACAAAGGAGTTGGCCTGAGCCCTAAATGACCAGACATTAATCTCCTAGCAACGAAGGGGGAGGAACTGGGAAAAAGGCCAGGGTGTGTGTATGGAAGGAGGTGGGGTTTGGGGATTGGAGCTCAGCTCTGGAGCCAGAGGGGAGGCTGTAGCAAGCAGGAGAGACTGCCTGGTTGCTTCTTTGTCTTTTGCCTGTCGGAGGAGAGTTTGGCTGCTGTTCTCTGCGCAGCTGTTTGCTGGTTACGGGCCTGGCTCACCGCGGGGTCCTCACCAACCGAAAATCGTGAGTTTTCTTCCATTGGGAGAGCTTTCTGTTTCCCTCCCCCTTCCCCCCTCCTCCATCGCCACCCGGCGGCGACCAGGGATCCCACAGCGCCGCCCGGTGACGGGTGCTGGACATTGCAAGTTCTACTCCTCCAGTGATCCAACAGCCCCACCTGGTGACTACTATAGAACATTACAAGTTCTGCACTTTTTGATAACTCAGCAGCGCCACCTGGTGAATGGTATAAGACATTACAAATTTTGCATCTCCAGTGACCCGATGGCGCCCCCTGATGAGTATGGCTGGAACTGCACCAAAGGATGCTAAAAATTGAACTATTTGATTTTCTTTTTTGCCAGTTTTATCGGTTTTGTTCTTGAAGGGGATTATTGGTGGGTATAGGGGTATTGCTTGGTTGTTTTACTTGGTTTTTTTCGTGTTCCTGTTAATACACACATACCTTTTAATAAAGGGCTGTTATTTTTTTTCCCTTTTCCATAGTTTGTTTTCCTTCAATCGAAGCCTCTTAATTTCGAATTTATAATTGCTAGAAAAGGAAGTTTGGGTCTTTTTCTCCTAACCCATCCTCAGCAAAAGACCTTTGTCTCATTTAACCTGGGACACCTTTCTAACCAAACACTCAGTCCCTGCCTTGGCAACAAAGTTTAATTTCAGGATGAAAGGAACTCGGTACACTCGGTGAAAGGTTGTGCTTTGGGCCCAGGAGTTGCATGAGAATAGAAAAATGTTTTTCCTGTTTGGTTCAATTAGCATAGAGCTTACATTTCACATAGAGATTTGACAGAGGACAACAAATGTTCCTAATTGGTGGCCAGTAAAAGCAAAGTAGGGTGGCTTCAGCCCTTGGTTTCATGTCGTGTCACCCAGGCAAGGGGAGTTTGCTCTCGAACACAGCAGTCGGAATTCTTGGCTGAGAAAAACACATCAGTCCAAGAATCCACAGAGCAATAACTCTGCAAAATCTGAGAATGACAGCTACATTTTAGAGTGGGGAGGCGCCCCGAGCCCCAGAGGAAGCCCTTGCTTCCACTGCCTGCCAGGTCAGACCAGATTTGTTGTTCTCAGTCCCAAAACTTGCTTGCTGATCCCAAAGACCTTGACCCCAGGTCTGCAGTGTGGCAGAAGGGAGGTGGCTCTGCCCACAGTGGTTAGGCCTAATCTGCTGTGTGATATTATATCAACAGAACTAGGACAGGCTTTTTGTAAGTTGTATTTTTATTTAGTTTCAGCCTGAAATGAAACCTACTTGTTTGCTCCTCAGAAGAGGAGCCCTGGGAACATTAAGGATATTTCTGTTGACTGACTTTCCTGTTACCTAATCCTGATCTTGCCCCCACCCTGTCTTGGGTTTTCCTCCAGTCACTTCAGGGCTGGGCTGCTCCCCCCAGAGAGCTGTGCATTTTAGACTTGATGTTGTGCAGATCCAAACCCACTGGGACTGTAACTTTAGAATCAGGAATTCAGGGGCTCTGGGATGAGTGAGATCTGAGCTGGGATATGGTGGTGCTGGTCCTGTCCAGCCTGCTGAGAGGTGGCTCATCAACTTGAGTGCAATATCTTGCTTGCTCACACATTGTGGGCTACTAGCTTGGGTCTCTGCTAGCTCAGGCATCACCTCCCCAGGCTCTGTTTTGCTCCCTGAATTTCAGAATTGGATCTTGTGTTGATGGATGTGCAACTTGTCCAGCAGCCAAGTAGGAATTATTCCTCCTTCCAACTGCACTCTGCAAGCCAAGAGCTCGACCACATTAGCTGGGGAACCACTGTGTTTCCTGCCAGTCTCTGAGAGCAGCCTGGGGCATCTCATGCCTCAGATGGATGGGGTTCAGCTGTTGAGGGGAAGAGCCCTTCCAGAAAAGCTGCCTGTGAGCTGGGGCTGGCTGGATGGAGGGCTCACAGTTGGAAGTGCAGTGTCCCGGCGCTTCCGTTCCATGCTCCAGCCCAACGGGGTGATGTGGGGTCTGCTGAGGAGCTGCAGGGGGTGTGTGAGGTTGGATGACAAGGGGGAGGCTGTGGGGATGTGCCACATCCAGAGAACGTGCCTCCAGCTGGGCCCACATCCACGGGAGCCCTGCTCCAAGGCACGCTCCCGCTGCAGGCTTCCACCATTGTGTGACCCAGCCCACGGGATATCCTGTTCAGGGGGAAAGAGCACAAGGAGGTCTGTGGAATGGAAGTGTCTGATGGATTGTGAGCCTGGAGGATCCTGCCAGAGCAGGAGCACAGGCCCTCAGTCAAAGCAAATACAGAGGGATAACAAGGAGAATGCAAATCTGAAAGCTCTGATAAATAAATGTCAAATTGGAGTAGTTCTCAGTTTGGGTCTGATTTGCCTGCTGAATGTACATTGTGCTGCTTGCTTAAAGAGAAACTAATGTTTATTTTTGTCCTGCAGTGTGTATTTACTCCACAATCAGGCCAGCAATTAGTAGCATTTGGAATGCTCTGGCACTCTGCATGATAGCTGTATAATAAGGTTCCTCTCTTTTTATGGCACAAATGGGTCCTGATGATCATCTTCTTTTTCTGGAAGGCGAGAAATCCTGTAATTATATGTCTTCCTCCTTTTTAGGTCAGCTATGAGATGCTGGGAAAAATCCCCATCCTAAAGACTCTTCGATACAGGGAGAAGCAGATGGGCAAGGATGTTACTCTCCAAGATGAACATCCAGGCTTGGCAAACACCACCAGAGCAGCAGCATTAAACAAGGAGATGGCTGAAAATACACAACCACAGGCTGCTGCAGGCTCAGCTCAAATGGGACAACACCGTGTTGAAAGTGATCCTTTAAATCCCCGATTAGAGGGATCTGGCACCATTACCACTGTGTATGTGGGGAACATACCTCCCAGCCTGAGAGTGAGCGAGCTGAAATGTGCTCTGAGGGAATTCCATGTGACTCCTTTCAGATTGAATTGGCAGGGAGCACAGCACAGGGCTTTTCTTGATTACAAGGATCAAGTAACTGCAGAGAGAGCTGTATCCTCCTTGAAAGGCCTGAGCCTCGGGGGGAACGCTCTGCGAGTGGAGCTGGCCAAGAGTCAGAGGAACAAAGGACAAGGAGAAATCAATAGTCAGAAATGAGAATTAATAGAGGAGGAGAAAGAAAAAAAAAAAAAGGCATGTTTTCATTGTTTTCTGAGAAGCCAACCTTAGTTTTCAAGGTTATCCTCTGGCCTCTGCAGGCCAGACAACACAGTGCAGAGCCAGCTTTGTGAACAAATGAGTACTCACTCCTGCACTTGGACGTGCAAAGGGGGGTTTGTCCAGACAGGTGACACAGGAGCCACTTCTCCAAACGGCTCCCCACAAAGTACCCCCACACTTTCTGTGTCTTTGTTTTTCATGAGCTGGTTTGCTCTGTGGTGTGTGCATTTGTTAGGCCTGGATGACAAACCTGCCCTGTGGTAGCTCTGTACAAGCCACGTGCAGCGAGGTGGTTGCATTCGTCTCCAGCCATCTAAAGGTTGGACCTGGAAACTTATGCTTTAAAAACCAGCAGCAGGACATCTGTCCTGAGGGTTACAGTTCTGTTCATTAAAAAAAATGGGGTTTGCCTTGTGGGAGTTTTAAGGTTTTTTTATAAAAATTGCCAGGGGGAGAGAGATTGTCCTTTTTGTGCTTTTGAAGAAATGGCTGTGGAAACACTGGCTCAGCCATGGAGTTCTGCTAAGAGCTGTTGAACATCAGGTAGGAGAGATTGTAGCTCTTTCCTCGTCTTTTTTGTCAACTTGGTGAACCTTATATTTCTTATTTCCATGTGACAGAGCAAAGCAAAGACCAGTTTTCTGTGCTTTTCCTCAGAACTCTTCAGGTGCCTTTTTGATGGATTAGATGATTATAAAAAAGCTGCTTTTCCTGATTTCTCTCTCTTGTAACGTAATGTGATTCTCTTGCTTCTGTGAAATTACATTAATATTAATTATCACAGTGGAGTGAAAAGCAGACAGACCATGGTCAAAAGCTGTCAGTGTGGAATTGTTTGGAAAATTGCTGGAGATAAAAGCAAAGACTGTTCCTCTGTGCCTTGGTCACCAGCAGCATGGTCTTCCTGCCCCCACAACATCAGTGACAGGGATTACTGGCAACTCCTCCTGGTCAAAGTGCTCCCAGGACAGTAGGATTTGCAAACACGTGGACACTGCCTTCCAGTGTAAGAGAAAATGATGATTTATTTGGTGTGGTTTTTATTATGGTTTTTTTTCCTTTGGTTTCCTATTCCTGAAAAACAAGTTGAATTTTGGCCGAACCATCCTCTCTAAACAGAAGCACTTTTGCCAGTGATGCTGGGCATGTAGTCAAAGTAAGCATCCAAATGGATATTTTTTTTTTAAAGTATGAGTTGGAAACTTTTTTTTTTTAACCAGAGAGCACTGTCAAGTGTATTTTAAGCACAATATTGAGTCTCAAGGGTCAGGCATTTCATACAGTATCAAATAAAAAGTTCTCATTATCATGTGCCTCTGTGTGGAGGGGCTCAAGGAAAGCACTGGAGCTGCAGAGCTGGTTCAGCTCTGGGGTCCCAGCACAGTAAGAACATGGAGCTTGTGGAGCAAGTCCAGAGGAGGCACCAAGATGATCATTGGGATGGAGCATCTCTGCTGTGAGGAAAGGCTGAGGTAATTGGGATAGTTCAGCCTGGAAAAGGGAAGCTTTGGGATGACCTAACTGTGGCCTTCTACGTGGAGGATAACTCCTGCTCCAGAGGGACAGGGACTATCTACACAGGTCTGGAGTGACAGGACAAGGGTGATGGCTTCAAACTGACAGAGAGTAGGTTCAGATTAGATATTAGGGAGGAATTCTTCCCTGTGACAGTGGTGAGGTCCTGGCACAGGTTGCCCAGAGAAGCTGTGGCTGTCCCATCCCTGGAAGTGTCCAAGGCCAGGTTGAATGGAGCTTTGAGCAACCTGGTCTAGTGGAAGGTGTCCCTGCCCATGGCAGGGCGTTGGAACTGGACAATCTTTAAGGTCCCTTCCAACCCAAACCATTCTATGAACTTCTTTTAAGGTCAACAAAAGAAAGGTTTCCGGAAAAAAATAAATCATTCAGTGCTCTAAAATGCTCCTTCTGCAGCTCAAAATGATTTCCAGTATCAGTCTGAATTGAAACATCAGCCCTGTAGAGCCCTCTGTGTCTCAATTCATGTGCACATCAAGGGTGAGAGTCAGGGGTTGTGTTACTACTAAAACACACCCACCCCATCATGAGCTTTGAAAACAGAGGAAGGAAAAGCAAAAAGCTAATTACACATCATTGCCTGCCCCTTCCAAATGATGGCAAATTAAGTAATGGGATCATTTGATCTTCCTTTTCACTCTGTGAGGCTTCTTACTTTGGTGAAGATGTGCAGGTGACCTTAGCAGTTAAAAGCCAGTTACTCTGCCAATGCAAACTTCTAGCATCTCAAACTTCCCCTGTTGCATTACAGATGGAACCAGCCTGTTCTGGTCAAATTTGTGGGAATTACATCCTCTCCCTTATTTCTCTTCTTAACATCTGTAGTTTCAGTGCAGATATGTTTATGTGCTTTGTAAATGTGCTAGGTTTGCTTGCTTTCCTGTCAGCACTGGGTACAGTCAGGGGCAGGTTTTGTTTGGACAAACATGTCTGGATGTTTTTCTGCTTGCAGTTGTGGTTCTGGGTGAGCCCCACAGGTGAGCAGTGCTGGGTTGGTATCCAGAGGAACAGACCTGGTTCTCTTCCAGCCTGTCACTTTTTTCTGTCCTGTATTTCGAGGCCACATCTCACAGGACTTACCTAATACCCTGTTACTTTCCCAATTGGCAGTTAAACCCCAAACCACACCGTGGAGGAGATTATTAACTAGACAGGTATGCAACAGGTTGGGCATCAGGAAGAATTTCTGGAAGGGGCTGTCAGGCATTGAAAGGGACTGCCCAGGGTGGGGGTGGAGTCGCGATCCCTGGAGGTGTCCAAGGAAGGCCTGGATATGGCACTCAGTGCCCTGGGCTGGGTGACAAGCTGGGGAATCAGTCACAGGTGGGACTCAAGGGCGTGGGAGGTCTTTTCCAACCTTTATGATTCTATGAACTCTGTTTAGGCTCAGAGAAGAAAAATAATTACTATAAGCTTAAGCTCATGCTCCGTCATTAGCATTTTGAATGGAGTGGAATAATGATGCTGTTTTCCTTTTGGTTTTGATCCGAGTTATTGGTAAATGTCAAGACCTTTCAGGCTTTGCTATCCTAAAGTCATTAAGTCACACTCTGAAGTCAGTGCAGTTTCTGCCTGGGACAGCCAGGGGAGCAGGAGCAAGGATAGGGCTCTTCCTGCTGTTTGGGAAGTTGCTCATCTTCAGCTCAAAGACATTTCAGTGCAGGACACCAAATTGCTATTTAATTAAATAACACAAGAATGCCCAAGGCACAGGCCTACACAGCCTTCTGGTGTCTTCAGCTGTGTGATGTGGATTTTTTCTTGTGGGCTGACCCAAGTTCCTCCTTGAGAAAACAGCAGATCCTGTAGAAAAAGTGAATGGGGCAGTCTGCATCTCTTAGATCTATTGTTCCAAGCTCTCTGCATGCTCAGGAAGGCATCAGTTAGGGAAAAGTCAGAAGGGACTCATGTTTAAGTCCACAAAACTCTGAAATGCAATAGATTTTATTGAGTCCCTTGGACTCTGATCTCATAATAAAACTCGAACTGAAGCCTGCTCGTGTTTTACTTTGGCCCAGGCCAAGACTGTGCAAGATACCAACAATCAAACCATAAAGTCCATGCCCTGAGGAATTTACTGTCTGAATTAACAGGCTTTAAAGATGAGAATATTAAGGCATAAGTCTTCATTCTGTGCCTGCTGAAGCTGTGGCCCTGCTGTAGATTGAGGTTGGCTGTGCCTACATAGATATAAAATGTGCTTCATTCAGGTGGACACTGGCCCAGTTTTACTGTTTAAGACTCATGAGAAAAACATCAACAGTGGCAAAGTAATGCCTGGATGCTGCAGAAAAGCCTGAAATGCTGGTGATAGATGTCTAGTCTGCTTCTAATAGGGAGTGAAGTGATCCCTAACACAGCCTTGGTTCAGCAGCAGCACAGCCTGTGTCTCACTGCTGTGTGATGAGAAGAAAAGTTCAGCAGTACAATGGGAAATACTTTCCTGAGCCAACTTTGTTCAGAAGCAATTAAAAATGAGTTCTCTCTATTCTCTGATGTCCTCGCCTGTCATGTGGTTCAGCACATTCTTTCCAGCTCCTTTCATGACACAAACAAGTTGGGATGTTGCTGCTGCTGCAGCCCCTCGTTTGGAGGGTTCAGTGGGGGAAGACGCTGAGCAGTTCCAGGGGCGGGTCCTGGTGTGAGTGAGCCCAGCTCAGCTCTCCTGGAGCTGGGAGGGCATGGTGGGATCCAGCAGCGACCACCCGAGGTGTCACATCATAGACATGACCTTCCCAGGGTGATTCTGCCCTTCTTCTCAGAGAGGATGAGGAAGGGAAAACAGTATGGGATGAATGGAGCCTCTACCAGCTCCACCAGGCTGGAGGACATGGTCACTTTGGAGGGGATTTTCTTTTGTTGGATGATGTTAGTCACAGCGTGGTGTGTGGCACGGAGCAGTGAGGCAACATTGTGATCTGCTAACAATAAAAGCGAGGTGGCTCGTTGCCACTCAGCACTGCAAACTGTACAGGCAGGAGGGTTTTCCTTCACACAGCTCTGTCCATGCATTTCCTGGAAGAGGGACAAGGCCACACAGCTTCAATCCACGAAGACAACAGTGAGTAAACAAGCTGTGTTGCTGTGTAGTCTTCTCTGAGTGACAAGAGTCAGAGACTGTTTGTGTCCATGAAGAAAAAAGGGAAAAAAAAATTCACCATCAGGGTGGGAAGGGAGTAGAGCCTTTCCTGAGTCACATCCAGATCCCCATCAGCCCTTCAGCATCTCCACATCAGTCCCTGATCTCCTCCAGGGCTTTAAGAACGGAGGCTTTATCCCATTATCTGAGAAGACCAGTAAAACATGTCAGAAAAGGGATGGTTAAACACTGTCTTCGAGTCATGCCTTTTTTTAATGTGTTTTTTTATTTCATCATCTTCTACTGCTCCAAAGGGAGAAACAAATGGGTTTTAGGGGAATGTCTCCATTGAAAAATCTAGCACTGGGGCTGTGTTTTTCTCCACAGGGGCGAGGAGAGGGAGGAAAAGCATGTGCAGGGATTTCTCTCATTCCGGTTCCTCAAGAGGAACAGCCCCTCGCAGCACTTCTGGCTCTGGAGGAAACATCTGTGGCTGTGACCAAGTTCCTTGGGCAAACACCCCTCAGTCAGGGGCAGGCTGTTGTGTACCAAATGCTTTTATTTCCTAGTTGCCATCTATTAAAGATTATCTCCCTGCAAGAAAAGTGCCCCATTTCCCATGTTTCCATGTGTAATGTCCGTGATGTCTGCTGTAAACATCGTGAAGCGTTTCCCTGCCCCTCCACTGACATAGGTAGAAAAGCCACTGCTTTTCATCTTTCAAAGCACTGCAGAAATGTTTAGGGTCGTGTATCCTGCCATTGTTCTGGGCTGGGCATCCCACTGAAGTCCCTGGGAGAAATGAGTTCAGGATATGGATCTATCTAGTCAATCTTTGCTGTGGCCCCAGTAACATCCACGTTTTTACAGATGGGAAGGCGAGGACGGCAGAGATGGCTCCTGATAGACTGGATGCAACTGGTGATTCCCACCACTTTGGAAAACAATAAGAAAACAGGCCAGAAACTCATCAGGAGCTCTCAAAAGAAAAAGAAAAAAAAAAAAAAAAGAAAAGAAAAAAAACCACTCAACCAAACCCCGTAGCG